AACTTGAGCTTAGGAGTGAAGTTATATTTCACCAGTGAGTTCATGCGAGCCGCTCCACCCTCTGTTATATTGTTTATGAAAAGACACCCAAAACCAGCAGGAATACGATTCATTTCTGCAGTGATGCAACACTGTCAAGTGACACAGCAGACGCAGGAGACACCCAGTGAGATGATACGTTACGGCCTTGTTATTGTTGTTGTGGTGAGTTTGGTTTGGGCTTGTTTTCTTGATTCCAGAGCCCAACAGCTCATAATAACGCCCGGCTTTGATCTTCCCTTGTTGGTGCTTATTTATTCTCCTCACAGTGAATATTTTGTGGTGATGTTAATGGGCCCTCCCAGCACACATTAAAGAGCCACAAACACAAAGAGCAGAGAGACGGAGAGAGCAAGACGGTCTGTGAGGGCTGAGGTGCGGGCAGGAACGGTGTCTGCTCCTAACTGGGGGAAAATGTGTTGCACATGGGCTGTTGGCTGCTCGCTGTGTGAAGCGGGGTATAAAAGCGTATCGTGCGTGCTGTTTGTGTTTGTATGTGTGTTCATGATATAAAAGGGTGCTTTTGCACATCTTGAGTAATTAGTATGGGCCGCTCGCCCTGTCTTTCAGCTCATGTTGTGTGTTTAGAGCTGATTAAAAAAATATGTACTCGTCTGTAGCTCAGTTACAAGCACTTCTGCTGCCTACACAGACAGTTGCTGGATTTATTAGTCAGCCTCATAGGCAGGGGCAAAAATGAATGGGTGCTTGGAGCAAAAATGCCACCAAAGTGAACAAAATGCCCCGCAAATTCAAGTTACAAATTCAAGGGGCGAAAAATGCCCTTGCGCAATTAAAATGATTATGAATGTTGCAATTAGGACTGCCCACTAATAAACATTAGTCATTTTATTCGTTTTATCAGTTGGTTAGTCGTAGAAAAAAAAGAAAAAATTAAGTTTGTGAGGGACAGATTATTTAGGCCCTAGGAAATTTGTTTTCTTTTTTTTTTTCAAAATTCCGTTTTTTCCATTTTAATTTTTCTGGATTCCATTTTTTTCGGTTTTAAGTTTTCTGGACTTTTTTAATGGTTAAATTAAATTTTATTAATCAAAAGAATGTCTAATGAATTAAAATCATGAAACTTGTACAATTCGACATTAATTTATTAAAAAGTTTAACACAAATTACATGTTTAGGGCCCTATGAAATATTCTATTTTTTTCTCACCTTATGTTTTATTGTTACCAAATTCTGGGTTTTAGCATGTCTAATTGTTTGAATGCATAAAAACAACTTTTATTTATTATTAATAATAGCCTTATGATTTTTTTCTTTAGAAATTGTGTTCATTCAAATGAAGGCACACTACGCTAATTTATCTTTTAATGAATGAAAATTAAACATTTTATTTTTTGGGCAAACAAAGGGGATTTACTATTAAAATTAAAACATGAAAGAAATATTGTGTAATTATTCCTTAAAAAATAAAGTTGTAATAATTTTAGTGTAGTAGTAGTAGTAGTATTAGTACTATTACATACATTCTACTGAACAATAGTAATGTATTTCTGACACAAAGTCTTCAAGTTAAACCGAACTTTTATTTTGACGGGTTGCCGCCGTGAATACCTTTAAATTTCTGTGTGTATATGATTTGATGCTAGCTGTTAGTTTTACTCGAATAAAACTGTGAACTGCTCATGAAGTACTCTCGGAGCAGTTCTGGGGATGTTGTTCATTTATTTCATTTAGTGATTCCTTTTAGTCATGTGACTCATTTAGTGAGACACCAGATGCTGAAATCACCGCGAGCGTCACGCGCGCTTCAGTATGTGTGTAGTAAACAAAAACACGCGTCTGCACCATTTATTAACACCGAGACTCGCAGAACAAGCAGGATTCATATTTAAATAGTCATTTTGTGGCTTAATATTTACAGATACAAGTCCATTCGTCCAAAAGTTGACAAATTCCGTGACATTCCACGACATTCCGTTTTTATGACTGGATTTTGCGATTCTGTCCACGTTTTCCGCATCCTGGAAATCATAGGGCCCTAATTATTACTGGCTGGTCCTTGAGGCAATTGAAATGTTCGCCTATCATTCATTAACCTCATATATGGCTTATCATTGCAATATGTAAGTAGTAGCACCTTTGCGCGGCTGTTTGCTCTAATGTTAACCTAAATGAATGTGCATTATTGCCATCACTGTCACTTTTTTACCTGATAAAACTGGAAACAAAATACCGTCATTTTTGCTCATAGATAAGATTAATACATCATTCAAAACTGTAAAGGGTCTTCTTTTATTTGTGTACACTCACAATATCAACAAAACATTGTGCTTTTGTAAAATAAAAAAAAACAGGACTCGCTTTCTGCCATCTCTGGAAAAAAATGAAGATAAACTGTGCAGAGGATACTTGCCTCACAGACATGAGAAATATATGCACAGAAAGCTTGAAGCCAACATTGACCCAGGCTTGTCTGACAGCGGTTGTGCCTATGATCCAGGTCATTTTCACATTTTAATGTAGAAGCAGGTAAAATCTTATTCTAGATCATCTGGACGTGGTTATTCTGAATCCAGTGAGCTGATGAATGAGTGAATAAGTGACTTCTAAAGTGATTGGATAGCCAGGTCCAGATGCTCTTAGTTGCAAATTCTACCTGTTTACAAATAAATGGATTGCAGTATACCACGCATAACAGTTTTACAAAATACTCATACAGTACGTGACACAATCTGGTCTGGGATCTGTCTTAAATAATTACACAGGATCAGTGGTGAACTGGAACTGGCAGATGGTTTATGAAAGGGAAAAAAACATGAATAAAGCAAATGCTTCTGAATCAGTGGTTGTCTGAAAATGGTTGTTAGAGTAAGAAGTATGTCACAGTTAAGATGGTTGGAAGCAACACAACACAACCTTCAGTAGAGCACAACAGTAGACTTTTAAATCCTTTAAAGATTCAGAGTCCTCTTGTTGGATCAATTGTTGATCCCTTTGGGAACCAGATCAGTGATGCTGTGAAGTTTAGTATAAAGGCGGACACAGGCTTATAGTCCTGATGTCAGCACAGCGCGGCCTCGCTCTCTAAAACAGCTCTGTTTACTCAAGAGCACACAGCAAAAACATTCAGACACTCTCTCTCTCTCTCTCTCTCTCTCTCTCTTGGGTTTGAAGGTGGTGAGGTGAGTGTAGAATGGCCACAAGAAACCGCTTGATAAAGACCCGCTTTAAGCCAGAGGGCATTTAGAGCCACATATAGGCTCTCTTTCAAAACACAGTGAACTGCCTACGTAGGCAACATTTAAAGCATGTTCCCAAATAGAAGGCTCTTCCAAAAGGCAGGAAGCAGGATTATGCTGTCTTCATGGGCTGGGCAATAAACTGTATATTAGTTACATAGTTGTAATAATATGTGTATATGTGTGACGATATAAAATTAGGGAATATTGTGTATATTATGGTGATGTATTACTCATAAATACAGTAAGCCAATTTCACTCCCCTTTTTCATTTCTTGCCAGCTGGTAGGCGTTGCTTTCAAACGTCTCCATGTGTGTTTATATGAGCGCTCTCTGAAGAGTATCAAACTTTCTATTTACAACATGCAAACCAGTGTCAAACATTGTTGGTTTATGTGTGTGTGTGTGTGTGTGTGTGTGTGAATCCATTCATTATAACTAACAAAGTGTAACCACTGGTTAAATAAGAGTTTGATTGCGCAGTAAAGACAACTTAATTGATAACAGGTGTTTTTGCAAGAGTGAAAAAGTACTGTCCCAGTGACAGCTTTTGTACCCTTTTTTTCTGAGCGTGTTGCTACACACTGCAATTTTTTTGAATTGACAACCATACTGAAATGCAGGTTTGAATCCGAAAATACAGTGATGACCATGGCAATGGATGGGATTAAAAAAGAAAACAAATGGATACTGTATGTGAGAATAGATCTGTGCATTAAGTGGAGTGTACATGCAAACTAATAAACCTGCCACTTGTTTAATGTGTTTGTTTTCTTTAAAGAACTTTTCTTTCTTTCGCTTCATTGTTGCAATAACCACTTTTTTCTCAAGAGCAAATGCAAATATATGCACAGCCCTACCACAGTCTTTTGGCCATAAGAAAAAAAGTAAGATGTCAATTTGGGAGCAATGTTTATTACAAGTACACTTAAATTCTATTCAATACAAAAAAAAGTATTGATGAAAACAATCTAGTCAAATTAAATTTTGTCTTCTTTTTGTGTGTGCTATGTATTTTTTTCGTATTGAAAACAATTATATGTCAAGCCAGTGCATTTGAGGAGCACTATGTGTCTATGTGTAGTTTTAAAAATCAGTCCCTTATTTGGGTTACGAGTTAAGGATGCTTATGTAGACTGTAGACAGCAACGCAGCTCACTGAGTTTCAGAACAGAACTAATAATTGAGGTAGAAATGTCCTTTTTAATAATTCATAAAACAGATGTGTCTCTCAGAATCATATGATGGTGTGCTTCTTCCTAGTATTCAACTTCATCTGTTTCTTAAATCACAGACTTACAATATAGTTAAATATGGCTGTAAAAATCTCTCATATTCTGAGTGTTTATGTTTACAGGGCTCAGTTATTTGCAGAAGTCACAACCACATTATATACAGTTCACAACCAGGTAGTGACCACTAGCTGCTAATGCAGTGACAGATAATGTATATGTCATGATTTAAGATCACAATATCCATAATTGGATACTGTAATATCCGGTCAGCCATGCCAGGTTTAGGAGAGACACGGAATGATCATTTAGAGGATTTACTTCTGTATTTTGAGGAGGTTGTCACTCCCAAAACTTGTCAGTGTGTTTGCGGCCTGTTTCTTCTTCTATTACCGCTGTAATGGACATTTAATTTCATTTACATTCACAGACGGCCCTCAGTAGTGCTGGCCATCTCTGTGTGGTGTGTGTCCTCTCGTTCACCCGTCTCACTCTGTGTGTGTGTGTGTGTGTGTGTCTCAATTCGCAGAACTGTACGGTTTCGACGTTCTCATTGATTCCAACCTCAAACCGTGGCTCTTGGAAGTGAACCTCTCTCCTTCATTGGCATGGTGAGCGACGCACACACACTAATCCATTGATTTTTCAATTTTTTTGTGTTTATGGTGATGTGTACAATAACAACTTTTTACCAGGTTTTGGGTGTTTGTGTTGTGCCTGTCTTATACCGACAAATGCAATTTGAGATCACTGCATTGCACACTTTAAATTCCCGTCACATACTGCCATCCATACAAGGAATTTTGGGTAAATTCAGTGAAGAAATGCAATCAAATGTGCAATTTTAGGTCTCTCTTTTGGCAGAGTGCAAGGAGTTGATATGGAGTTTTACAACAGGCCTGAAAATTTAACAGACTTGGGCCCTTATTCACAAAATATTTTATCTTACCACTTAGAGTTCTCCTTAATAGCAGTAAATGTTTTTAGCTAAGAGTTTTCTCTTAAAACCTATTCACAAAGCTGCTGAGACAAACTTGTACTAAGGAATAGAGAGAAGTCTTAAAGGTATAGTTCACCCAAAAATGGTCAGCATGCTTACTAACTATGCACACAGTGATTGGCTGATAGGGGAGGGGTCTCTGTCAGAGATTTATTCATAGAAATATTGTAGAGCTTGATATTATGTTGACATTCAAATAAAGATTTGAAAATAAAAATTTGCCACATTCAAATAAAGATTTTAAAATGCTGGCTAAGTGTCACTAATTAAACAAGTATATGTTCAGCTTATTGTCAGCCTCTTACATGTATGCTTCTCATAAACAATTTGTGGATATGCATATAAACAGCCTTTTAATTAACAGAGTAGAATAATCATGGCTGATAGTAAGACATGCAAACGTTAAAAAAACCAAACTGGACTCAAGAACATCTGTTACATCTTGCCCAACTGGTTAATGAAAACAAGGATATAATCAAAGGAAAATTAGAAATTAGGATGTCCTCTTCACTACTCCTAACGTTTCACAGATTTAGGAGCTAGTTTTAGCGCTAAAACGCTTTGTGAAATACTCTTAGAGTAAAAATGTAGGAGTCCTAAATTTAGGATTGACGCCCATTATTTTTTAAGATTTCCTTCTAAATCGGCAAGTTATGAGCTACTTTTAGCCTTAAGATGTTTTGTGAGTACGGGCCCTGATCTCCGGGGTAGGAAAGTAGGGCTGTAGGAGGAAAAAGCAGAGGATGCCAAAGATCAGCTCCTCATGGACAAGACAATCATCTTAAACGACATGAAGAAGTAGAGGAACGTTCAGTATGGCATACATCAACTAAAAGCATTTGACAGCATTCCCCTCAGTCTGTGAACATACCGAACAGACCCAGTCATCATGGGCTTCTTGGAAGGTGAAGCGTTGGAAAACCAACCTGTGGTTCCATGCCAATGGTGGCATAAAGGCTGGTAAAAGCCATTAAGTGAAGAGTTTTCCAAGGCAACTCTGTCTCACCACTGACAAACTACTAATGAACATCCTAAATAGTGCCCATGTTATAAGATGAAGAACAGCATCTATCTTGTCAAGTTGCTCAGCAGTGACATTCAGATGCTCCAAAAGTGATGAACTGAAGATCTTGATAGCCAATGGACCAACAAGAAGTTAAACAAGATGATAAAGGAATTCCAAAAGCCAAATACCCTCTATTCTAGATCAGAGATAAAGTGCAGAAAAAAAAATGCTTCCTATTAAAATAGCTATTTACTCCCCAAATGTTTTTCAATACAAGACAACAATACTCACAAAAATGGACAATTCACACTAAATTGTTTTTGTGTCAAACACTCCTTTATGAGTAATTTGTCCAATTAGAAGGACGTTCTTAATGAATACTTGAGTCAAACTCAAGCCTGCCATTAAGTGTACTTGTCAACATGCTCATAAACATTTGTGTGGTGCTTCTAAAAACAGCACAGACTGCACTGGTTTGGGTTCAAGAATGGAAAAGTTGGCTAAAACGCTTTGTGAAATACTCTTAGAGTAAAAATGTAGGAGTCCTAAATTTAGGATTGACGCCCATTATTTTTTAAGATTTCCTTCTAAATCGGCAAGTTATGAGCTACTTTTAGCCTTAAGATGTTTTGTGAATACGGGCCCTGATCTCCGGGGTAGGAAAGTAGGGCTGTAGGAGGAAAAAGCAGAGGATGCAAAGATCAGCTCCTCATGGACAAGACAATCATCTTAAATGACATGAAGAAGAAGAGGAACGTTCAGTATGGCATACATCAACTAAAAGCATTTGACAGCATTCCCCTCAGTCTGTGAACATACCGAACAGACCCAGTCATCATGGGCTTCTTGGAAGGTGAAGCATTGGAAAACCAACCTGTGGTTCCATGCCAATGGTGGCATAAAGGCTGGTAAAAGCCATTAAGTGAAGAGTTTTCCAAGGCAACTCTGTCTCACAACTGACAAACTACTAATGAACATCCTAAATAGTGTCCATGTTATAAGATGAAGAACAGCATCTATCTTGTCAAGTTGCTCAGCAGTGACATTCAGATGCTCCAAAAGTGATGAACTGAAGATCTTGATAGCCAATGGACCAACAAGAAGTTAAACAAGATGATAAAGGAATTCCAAAAGCCAAATACCCTCTATTCTAGATCAGAGATAAAGTGCAGAAAAAAAAATGCTTCCTATTAAAATAGCTATTTACTCCCCAAATGTTTTTCAATACAAGACAACAATACTCACAAAAATGGACAATTCACACTAAATTGTTTTTGTGTCAAACACTCCTTTATGAGTAATTTGTCCAATTAGAAGGACGTTCTTAATGAATACTTGAGTCAAACTCAAGCCTGCCATTAAGTGTACTTGTCAACATGCTCATAAACATTTGTGTGGTGCTTCTAAAAACAGCACAGACTGCACTGGTTTGGGTTCAAGAATGGAAAAGTTGAAATATCTTCACATTTGTGTTCACTATCAAGTGAAAGTGTAATTTAGTGCTTTTGGCAGAGGTAAGTCGTCTAGTTGTGTAGATCCTTTGACCCCATTCATTTTCATTGTGTGGACAAAACATTTTTCAGAGTTTTAATTTGTGGGTGAACTAGCCTTTTAATAAGAGATGCATTTTTGTATGCAGTGACAGTGTTCACTGTATAGGATTTAGGTTGTATTGTATTGAAAACGTCAAGGTGCTCCAAAATTTGATTCTTGTATTATTTCAATGACTTGAGATGTTATGATGGATTTTGCAGCTTGACAGTATAAATCACCTTTAATTAGGTGGAAATGAGCAGCTTGGACATTCTACCCATTTTGTGTTTCATGGAAGAAAGACAATAATCATGTTGTATTGTGTTTCTTTTAAAGGCTTATAAATCAGAAGAATTTATTGGCCCACAAGGTTAATATAACAGTGCACTAATGCATTTTTGTCTTTTTATATTTCTAGCGATGCTCCTCTGGATTTAAAGATAAAGGCCAGCATGATCTCCGATATGTTTTCTCTTGTGGGTAAGTTTGCTTTTTCCCAGTCTCAGAGTCTCAGTCGTAACCCTGACCAGTCCTTAACCACTTCACATCAGTCTCATGTTGTGAATGTGCATGTTCGGTCATATTTTCAAACCACAGAACAGCCATAACTGCAGGTTACTGTGGCCGTGGCTTTTGTCATGTGGGTCACACTTGTTTGGTCTGCAGTAATGACCGGTTAAGAAGAAGGAGTGTTGTGCTTTCCTGCCATACATGAGGGTTTGTGGAAAACGTAGACGAAATCACGAAATCTGGCAAAATTTGGATGAATAAATAGAAAGTAGGGCTGTACACTTAATGCAATGACAATATGGGCTTGTAGCTGTGAATATTCAAGTGCAAGAAGACTACTGTTGAAATATAAGGTCTGCATGTTCTGCTTGACTCAGTTTCTCATACACAGCACATACTAAGTCTCACTGTATAAACTCATGAACTTCACCTCCAGAGCTGCTCTGAGAGTCACTTCACCAGCATTTCACCATTTCTTTTGAGAAAATGAACATCAAATACACAGAAACGCAAAGCTCTTCACAACAACCTGCCAAAAGCTTGGTTAATTAATAAAGCTCAATATGGCGAATGGGGCAAACATCTCAAGCATTCATTATGAAATTATGAATAAAACTTGAAGAAATTATGACAGAAATACGTTACTGTTATACAGTAGAATGTATTTCTCAAAGTAATAATGACAATAATAATAATACAGTTGTTAAAAGATCTTTTTTTGCGGAATATCATACAAATTTTTATCCATGTTTTCATTTAAACCATAAATCTCTTTTGTCCAGCACTATGCCAAAAATTTAAGGAATTGTTCAAATTTCATTTGATTACATTTTAAAAGCTTAATTAAATCGTTAAAGTTTTATGCATTCATGATTACCACCATTTTTTATAAAAAAAATGCATTACGTCATAAAACACAGAATCTACAAAAATTTAAACGGAAAGAAAAGGAACAAAATAAAATGGGTATTTCATAGGGATGTAACAATATCTAAATCTGACGATACGATATTATTGCGATATTTAAAAAGAAAAAAAAGACAAATGAAGGATTGGGAAAAATTTAAATTTAACATTTTAAAGTTAAATTATTCTATCTAATGCACTTTAAGAGTTCAAAATTAAGAGCTCCAACCCATGTTTCTTAACTTAAGTCAGAAAAAAGTCTGTGAATTGACTTGTAGCTGAACTTTAAAGGAGACTCAACCCTCTTTTTATTTGTGGTACACTGTCTCAGTCTAAATTACATTCACACTGGGGTTTTAGGAAGCCAAACAAATTAGAATAGAATAATAATAATAATAACAACAATGACAGTAATAGCCATATACTGTAAAACAATTGCACTGTAAAATAACTGAAAATTAATATTTTAATAGGTATATTTACACTACAGTAGGGAAATTACAATACTTCTTTCCTAATTTCTACACTTGGAAGAGATATTTTAAATTTGGACTGCATTTAAACCGCTAGCTGTCAGCAATTCATTCTGCACTTTAAGCTTTTATTTTGACGGAAACGTCAGTAGAGCTTTTGTTTTGAAGGAAACTCCAGCTTCAGTGAAAACATGCTTACAAAAACATGTCTCACTACAAACCTAGTGAAACGCTGTAATCATCTGCCGCGAAAATAACGTGTAAACTCACAGCACGTGCAATAAACGAGTTGACTGCATTCATTCAGTGTGAACGGAGCCGTTCTGAGGCGCGGAAAACACCGGATCACGAGCTGATCGCATGAACGAAGTGCGCGCTTGGCTTTGAAACAGACTTGATGAAGGGATTAAGCCATATTGTGCTTTGGTTTCATTTTGTTTGACAGATACTGTGCCAAAGCATAATGGCCCAAAACAAATGTATTTTAAAAACTACACTTTTTGCCTATCGACCACGATAATACCACGATACAATATCGCGATATTGATAATATCGTTACATCCCTAGTATTTCATAGGGTTCATAGGTCACGCTGGGCGTCTCACTAAATCCATATTGCTCAAAATCCACTAATAGGGCATTGTTGCCCGCTGGTCACATTCTTCCAACCCTTCAAACTGTGTGATGATCAAATGTGATGTGTTTGAAAAGCAATGAATTGCCCTGCATCAGAAGCACAGTGTTAAAGAGTTACCCACAGGCGCTGCTCATTAGCATAAGATGACTTACATGAAGGAACTGTCAGCAGAACATTAGACGCTTGCATGAGTCATTGAACTGTCACAGTTTGGCTGAAGAAAATACCTCTGCAGCGCTCATGAAAATAACGATCGCTCAAGGCAGAGTTTTGTTATTATTACGCAATAGACTGTCCCCACTCCAAAAGCTCGCAAATGTGACGCCAGAGAAAAGAACGCTCACTGTAATGATTGATCTCTGTACTGTGACGGTTGTTGATCGCATGCAGTATTTTATCTTGTTCGTTTGTCTGTGTAATCCACATTTCTGATGATTACTTGCCACAGTAGAACTGATCAACTATTTGTTCATTCTTTGTAAAAGTTGAGGATTTCGATTCTGGCGACAGATACTTTTGTCTATGAATGTTTAAACATTTGTGTGGTGAATTTGTTCATTTAAAATTGTTTTGTTGTTGTTTTTGCGTATGGTGTTTTTTAATGGCTTTAATGTGATGTTATGAGTAATAAATTAAGTAATAAATCAAGTAATTAAATAATTATTTAGGCGGCATTTATGCAAGGCAGCTCAAAATGTTTTGGAACAGAGGTGTCATGTGACAAATTGTGATTTTTTTTTAATTGACGCTTATGATTGACCACATACACTACTGTTCAAAAGTTTGGGGTCAGTAAGATTTTTTAATGTTTTTGAAAGACGTCTCTTCTGCTCACAAAGGCTGCATTTAAAAATACAGTAAAAAACAGTAATATTGTGAAATATTGTTACAATATAAATAGCTGTTTTCTGTGTGAATATATTGAAAATTTTAATTTATTCCTGTGATCAAAGCTGAATTTTCAGCATCATTACTCCAGTCTTCAGTGTCTTCAGAAATCATTCTAATATGCTGATTTGCTGCTCAATAAACATTTATTATCAGAGTTAAAATGGTTGTGCTGCTTAATGAAAGTGTGGAAACCACAATACAGTGTCTTTATTCTGAATTCTTAGATAAAAGGAAAATTTAAAGAGCAGCATTTATTTGAAATAGAAATCTTTTGTAACATTATACATTTTTTAATTGCCATTTTTATTCAATTTAATGCATCCTTGCTGAAGAGTATTAAAAACGAACAAATTTTCGAACAGTAATATATAGCATGTATTATTGCAGAAATTCTAACATCAAACAGAACATTTGAGATCAACTTTTTTTGACTCTCTGATCAGTCTGCTGTTATTTACACACACTCCATTACACATCTGAACGGATAGAAAGCTAATTATGAATAGATTGTATTAATCCACTCTTGTCTGAACAGCAACTGTTTCTTGTGCTTAGGTTTTGTGTGTCAGGATCCGTTATTACGACAGCCGCGTCCCGACAGAGCTGGGATTGATTCAAGAATGAAGAATCCTACGCAGAAACTTCAGGTAAAAATACCCACACTTTGAACTTATTTAAATAGTTTTCCTTGTGTAGATACACAGGATAAACAACAAGTTGTTAGGACAATCATGATGATCATCAGACAACCTTATAGTGTTTTTTAATAAGAATAATGAGAAGAAAACCCTTCATGTTTCATCATGCAGGTGTCAGCGGTATAACTTAATTAGGACCGGATGTGCTAATGTAATTAGAATATTCTCTATAACTGTGTGCTTTCTAGTCTATGATTATTACTTTCTAAAGATGTTGAAAACTTGATGATGGCACTCTGATCCCCAGGGGCCCAAACAGACTTAATCGATTATGGAGAACAGTTTTTTCTCTTGGACCCAGATGAATGTGTTTTGGACCTTTTTGATAAAATCTTTAACCAACTTACTTACATTTATGAAGTGATTTTGTAAAAGATTTTATCAGAAAGCTGAAACTTTTACCACATTACTTGGATAAATATATTTATTCATTCTGTCTTTATGTATCTTACTAATATTGGAATGAGTTTATAATATGATGATAATTATTAGGGGTGTAAATCAAATGGTTCGTCACGATACGATACGATATTGATTCTCATACCCAGCGGTACGATATTTGCCGATACTTCTACAATACGATTTCAATACGATTCGATACAGGACAATATCGATCGATATATCGATATTATTATATTATATACCTATTTTAAACAACCTACATTTTTATTAACTCACAAATGCAACCAAAACATATATACACTTTTTTTTAAATAATAAAGAAAAATAAATAATTGAAAAAAAAAATAGTCACACACAAGATCAGTAATCTTAAAAAGCCCCTATTATGTGTAGTGAATGTGAGCGCAGTGCTGCTTTGTGTACAGCGTTACCGGGGAAACCGATATTTTTACCGCTCCAAAAGCGGCACCTAGTGGCAAAGAATGAATTTGCATTTTGCACTCAGAGCAACCAGCAACCGGTCTACAACCAACCAGCCGAGGCACGTGAGTTTCATGCTGGTCACTAGATCATGTTATTGGTTCCAAATGCTTATAATGGACTGGTAATTTTTGGCCCACAGTCGGTTCTCAAGAGGGTGGGACTCTGGCTGTCAAGAGTTTGGAGCAGCTGTTTCATATCAATCTGATGAAAAGGATTTAGGGAATTCCATGGTGGATTTGGGACACAGCTCTCCACAGTTAACAAACTAGATGTTAAGGAGCTGATTTCTCTGTCGATTTGCTGAGGTTTTTTTAGACCCAGGGTAGACCGATGTGATCTAGCTTGATACCTTAAACTCTTTGTTTTGAGTGCTACTGAGCTGTAGAGGCTTACATGGCAATAATGACAATGCTGCTGATTGAGTGCTGTTGTTTGAAACCCTGTTTTTATAGCACAACAGAATTTTCTAGTTGTAATAATTTTGTGAATCTGACTGAAGAGTCCAGCTGTGAGAGCTGCCCCATGGCCAGAGTTTAATCTACAAACTAGTCTCCATTTCTTCTGACTTCAGAACTGAATAATGTTACTACACAACATAGACAAATGTCTTTTAAGCAAGGAATAATTGACGACGGGCCGCTGAATTCTTAGAAAATAATGCACACCTGAGGTGGTGATGCGGCCATGACGCGAAGCGGAGTTGGAATTGACTTCAACGGCCCGAACTCAATTATTCCGCTTATACTACAGTTACCACACCTCAAGACATCGATCAGATGATATATTTCAAGGCATTTGTCAGTTTTTTTGTACTTAAAACACTATTGTAAGTAGGATTAATTTCTTCCGCATCTCATCCAACGCCTCCGTTGCTAATTCCAAAACGTCATTTTAGACCTAAGTTAGTAACGGAGGCTTGAGCCGTTGGTAACAAACTAATGCAGCTAATAACTAAGTTATGAGGGAGAGAGAGAGAGAGAGAGAGAGAATTACCTCTGTGAGTCTATACATTTCTTAAAATTGTTCGACAGCAGTGTCTTTACTAATAGTGAAACTTTAATTTCATTTTCTGCACAAACAGTGTCGTTGTTACCTCGCTTGTGAGAAGTCATGTAGTTTTTAAGTTGATGTTACTGATAAAATCGTCACAGTAGCGGTAACAACATTAGCGCGTATGTTAGCATGTGTGCAAACTGTATGTATGTGCGTCTGTAAGGGAGAGAGAGAGCGGGAGAGATAGAGTATGTGCTTTCCGTGCATAATAAAACGTAATTTTGTGGCAAAAACATGGAAATGATCTGTCGTTTTTATCCTGTTGTTTACTATATTTATTTATTTGGCCGGAGTCATTGTGGGTTTTTGGTTCTTTTGCTGTTTTAAGCTGTAAGGACCTTTGAAATAACTCAAATCATTTGGCGAAGTGATATGGACATGTAATGCGGTCAAGACCTGACTGGAACTACGTTCCTGAAAATAATTGCACACCTTAGAACGTTCGCCAGCCAATCAGATTCAAGCATTCAGCGGTCCCGTAGAATCAGTCAGGTATTCTTACTACGAATGATGCTGAAAATTCAGCTCTGATCAGAGAAATACTATAAATTACATTTTAAAATATATTACAATACAAAACAGTTATTTTAAATTGCAATAATATTCACAATATTGCAGTTTGTATTGATTATTTTTAGCACATAAATGCAGCCTTGATGAACAGACAACAACATTTAATGAACTTTCGAAAAAAGTTTTAAACATTAACAAACTTTTGACACGTATTGTAGCCCTTACAGAATATACAAGATGTTAATCATTTTGACAAAATAAGAGATATTATAAAAATGTCATGCTATTTTTTTTTAGCATTGTCCTGAATGAATTTACTTTTTAGTCCACAAGACAAAATAATAACTAAATTTACATAAATTCATCTTTTAAAAAGTTTGCATACCCTTGATTCTTATTACTGTGTGTCATTACCTGGGTGATTGACAACCTATGGAAGCCCATTTCCGCCACTGTTTAAAAAATAAAACAAGGTAATTGCAACTTTTTTCTCACAATTCTGACTTCTATTATCCAATTCTGAGGGAAAAAAAGACTATGTTCTTACAATTGTGAATATAAATCTCTCAGTTCTGACTTTTTTCTAAGAATTGTGAGAAATAAACTTAAAATTGCAATAAAAAAGTCAGAATTGCGATATACAAATTCACAATTACTTTTTTGAATTTTTTTTATTCAGTGGCAGAAATGGGCTTCCATAACATCCTGGGCTGCGTTTCCCAAAAGCATCGTAAGCTTAAGTTGATCGTAACTCCATTGGTTTCAATCGGTCGACGATGTACTTAAAGGGTTAGTTCACCCAAAAATGAAAATTAGCCCATAAATTACTCACCCTCAAGTCATCCTAGGTGTATATGACTTTCTTCTTTCAGAAGAATCCAGTCGGAGTTATATTAAAAATTGCCTTTGACAGACGAGCACAGAACACTGTTTAGAGTCCCAGCCTCAGAGGAGACAAGACAGCAGTGGATTTATTGATTTATTTACTGTATATTGCTGCTGTCACACAGATCTAAAATAAACATGCAGCTGTTTACCTTCACAGAACATAACCGACTGTTTTTGTAACTCATGTGTGTTTTTAACGTAAACTTGTGTGTGAATGAGAACTTAGTTTAGTACTCACATGCTGTGACAGCCGCTTTCTGTCCGTGTGCTTCGGATGTGTGCGGTCAGAAAACGTATATCAGAAGTTTAACCTCATATGGTTTAAAATGCATGATTTCAGCGCGATAAACATGATAATCAGAACCAAAACAGATGTTTTTAGCAGGTCCGAGCTGTAAAGGTGCGGATCTATTCTGGAAAAGGGGGCGGGGAGCTTCATTTGCATTTAAAGACACAGGCCCGAAAAACAGCGTGTTTCTGCTTCCACTCAAAATAGGCATTTTCAAAATGATATAATAAATTATCTGTGGAGAATTTTGAGCTGAAACTTCACAGACACATTCTGGGGACAACAGAGACTTATATTATATATTGTAAAAAGGGGCATAATATGTCTCCTTTAAGCTTACGATGCTTTTGGGAAACGCAGCCATGAACAGTTAAACTTGCCTGCAGTTCTTCAGAAAAATCCTCCAGGTCTTGCACATCCTTCACTTTTCCAGCATCCTCTGCATATTTGAACCCTTTGCAAAAGTGACTGAATGAACTCTATGATCTGTAATAACACTGATGATGCCACTACAGTATTTTTGTAATAATTCACTCTTTTCCTCAGCGTCAGAGACCGCCATCCGCCAACAGTGCAGACCCAGAAGCTCAGAGAGAGAAACCCGGCGCTAAGCTAGCGGAGAGTACGCTGAGTCTGACGGCAGAAGAGGTCAGTGATTCTGAGTCTACAGCCGATGGGGTTTCCATTACTTTAGCCAAACGCTAAGGAATTTATTTGAAGATAGCGGGCTGATGGTATGCTCTTTCTTCTTGGCTGCTCCTGACATATTTGATATTGAACAGCATGTTTTATTGTCTCCCCTGCACAGATGAAAGTGCTGAGGAGGGCACAGGAGGAGTATGACAGGAGGGGTGGGTTTGTTCGGATCTTTCCTACTCCGGACACCTGGGAACTTTACAGGTGAGAGAATGAAAGGACAGAACGATGATTTGTAGATCAGAAAATGTTGAATTGATTTATGCTACCTGTCAAAAGCTTGGAATAGTTTATATTTTTTGAAAGAAGTCTCCTCTGTTCGCCCATGGCTGCTTTTATGTAATAAAAATAATAGATAAAGTCAGTCTTTAGTATCACATGATGTTTGAGGGAAGAAAGATAAAATAATGATTAATACTTTTATTCAGCAAGGGTGCATTAAATTGATCAAAAGTGTCAGTAAAGACATTTATAAAGTTTTTATTCATCTGTGAATCCTGAAAAATATAAAGTATCAGTTTCCACAAAAAAACTTTGCTGTTTCTTGAGCAGCAAATCAGCATACAGTATTAGAATGATTTCTGAAGGATCATGTGACACTGAAGACTGGAGTAATGATGCTGAAAATACAGCTGCGCATCACAGAAATAAATTACAGTTTAACATATACTCACATAGAAAACAGCTATTTTAAATTGCAATAATATTTAACTGTTTTTACTGTATTTTGATCAAATAAATGCAACCTTGGTGAGCAGAAGAGACTTCTTTCCAAAACAGTAAAACATCTTAATTAGTCCAAACTTTTGACCAGTAATGTATAGGGCTGGGTTTTGACAGGCTTAAACAGGCTTAAACTTAATTAGATGGTTTAAACTGTAAGCATCACTATGCCAGCCATCTGTACACGCATTGAGTTGTAAGTTAGGACATTCACTTCTGTGTTTAAATGATTCCCGAAATTGTGGTGTGTGTATGTTGCCAGAGTCAGCTTAAGATTGGACTCTTGTGTTTTTCTGAAACCCTGAGATCATACTGACTTCACCTATAAGTCCAAATCACCTGTAACTCAACATGAGCTGCAAAACTCTGCTGGTTACCAAGCTTGAGCTGCCAGCCACTAAATCAGATGCTGCAATCATGTCTAACGAGTGAAAGCAAACAGTGGTGTGTGAGGATGACCATCTGCTGTCTGCACAGATCTCCTCAACGGGAAGGAGCTCAGACGCTTTCTGATCATCACACTCAGGGTTATTATAGTAAACTAAAACTAAACCAGAAACCACCGTTCATTACTTGAAGTAAACTAAACTTTAACTGAAATAAATGAAATATCTAAAAAAAATATATATACAGTGTTTCCCCTGCCATTATATAAACATTTCATAGGGCCCTAAACATGTAATATTTGTTAAACTTTTAATAAATTGATGTTAAATTGTTTAAGTTTCATGATTTTAATTAATTAGACATGCTTTTTGATTAATAAAATTAATCCAAAAAGCATAAACCTAGGGGAAACACTGTATATATATATATACAGTATATATATATATATATTTCAGCAACATTTCTCATTTTCATTGTTAAACATGATGTACTAAAATAGTTAGAACCAAAACTGAAATAAAAATTTATAAAAAATACTGCTGTCAAACGATTAATTGCGATTAATCACATACAAAATAAAAGTTTTTGTTTGCATAATATATGTGTGTGTACTGTGTATATTTATTATATAAACATAACATATTTTTGTGAAATATATACATGCATGTGTGTGTATTTATATTTACATAATAAATATACACAGTACACATACATAATGTAAACAAAAACTTTTATTTTGGATGTGATTAATCGCGGTTAATCGTTTGACAGCACTAATTAAAAACTATATAAACTAATAAAAATAATGAAAACACAAACTAATAAAAATAATGAAAACACAACAAAATTACTAAAACTTTTAACTAATATTAAAACGATAACAAAATATAAAAATTAAATCTAATTCAAAATATTAATAAAAGCTATAATAGTCTCTCAATGATTGTGAAATAACACTGATCACTCTTCACAAGTTCAGCAAAGCAAATAATCGACATCATCTGAAGTCTTTGTTTTGTCCATGTTACAGCACAAGGCAGAAGTTTGACCTCGCTGAGACTGTGTTGAGGTAGAAAAATTTAAATAAAATGCTCAAATTTAGTGCAAGAGTGTGGTAAACCCAATGGTTTAGCCAAAGGGGTCATGAACTGTATTTTTTTATTTTATTTTATAATATTCTTTGAGGTCCACTTATAAAGTTAATAATAATAATATGTTTTATTTTTATAGCGCCTTTCAAGAACCCAAGGACACTTTACAAAACAAAACAAAAAAATACAAGCAAATTGGCAAACAAAAAAACAGCCCAAAGACGTTTCACAAAATAATACAAGCAATTATGTCAAGATGGTGGTCTTATCAGAATCAGAATCAGAATGAGCTTTATGGCCAGGTATGTTTACACATACGAGGAATTTGTTTTCGTGACAGAAGCTTCCACAGTGTAACAGAATGACAGTGACAGAACAAAAAAACACAGATAATAAAGAAATAGAGAAGCAGAGAGGTAAATGAGTTATTTAGAGAACAAAGTGAATAGATGAGTTTTAAGTTGAGACTTAAAGGCCTGGAGAGAGGAGGCAGCACGAATATTATGGGGCAGCTTATTCCATAGCTTAGGCCTATAATACAGAAAGCCCTATCACCCACCGTAGAGAGTTTATACTTGGGCACAACAAGCAAGTTATCACTGCTAGATCTGAGAGTCCGTGCAGGAATGTATGGTTGCACTAACTCAGCAAGGTATTGAGGTGCGAGGCTGTGACAGGACATATAAACTAAAACTAAGAGTTTGAACTGAATACGTTTGGCCACAGGAAGCCAGTGAAGTTGGTGAAGGATGGGAGTGATATGTGCAGATTTTTTGTTAAATGTAAGGGCTCGAGCAGCAGAGTTTTGTACCATTTGGAGGCGATTAATAACTTTGGCAGGTAAGCCGCCATATAAGGAGTTACAGTAATCCAATCTGGAGGTTATAAAAGCATGGATAATAGTTTCAGCATCTCCACAATTAAGTGAGGGACGTATATGAACAATATTCCGCAATTGGTAAAAGCATGATTTAACAATCTGACCAATATGTGAATCAAAGCATAACACCGAGTCAAACAACACTCGCACAGATTTCGCACAGTTGTTGAGGGCCTAATCTGGACACCATCGATATCTATGAAGATGTCATGCTGGGAGGAGCTCTGTGATTTAGGGCCAACCAGCAGGATTTCAGTTTTGTCTGCATTTAGTTGTAAAAAGTTATCTGACATCCAGGTTTTAAGTTCTTGAAGACAGGAAACAATAGAAAGGGGTGGACAAACTGAGTTGGGTTGAACCGTAAAATAGATTTGAATATCATCAGCGTAGCTATGAAAATTGAGACCATGACGTCTGATAATCTGACCCAGTGGCAGCTAGTGTTGTTTTTGGCGGCCTGTTTTAATTTTAATTTTAGTTTTAGTCTAGTCTTTGTGTGAAACTGTCATTTTAGTTTTTATTAGTTTTAGTCACGTTCATACTCTTTTTAGTCTAGTCAAGTTTTAGTCAACTAAAAGTCTGAGCATTTTAGTCTAGTTTTAGTCGACGAAAACTGATGACATTTAGTCTAGTTTTAGTCAATGAAAATTGTATTCCATGGTGGACTTATGTCATACAAACAGAAGTTGAGAAATAGAGAAGCAGAGAGGTAAATGAGTTATTTAGAGAACAAAGTGAATAGATGAGTTTTAAGTTGAGACTTAAAGGCCTGGAGAGAGGAGGCAGCACGAATATTATGGGGCAGCTTATTCCATAGCTTAGGGCCTATAATACAGAAAGCCCTACCACCCACCGTAGAGAGTTTATACTTGGGCACAACAAGCAAGTTATCATTGCTAGATCTGAGCGTCCGTGCAGGAATGTATGGTTGCACTAACTCAGCAAGGTATTGAGGTGCGAGGCTGTGACAGGCCTTATAAACTAAAACTAAGAGTTTGAACTGAATACGTTTGGCCACAGGAAGCCAGTGAAGTTGGTGAAGGATGGGAGTGATGTGTGCAGATTTTGGTTAAATGTAAGGGCTCGAGCAGCAAAGTTTTGTACCATTTGGAGGAGATTAATAACTTTGGCAGGTAAGCCGCTATATAAGGAGTTACAGTAATCCAATCTGGAGGTTATAAAAGCATGGATAATAGTTTCAGCATCTCCACAATTAAGTGAGGGACGTATATGAACAATATTCCGCAATTGGTAAAAGCATGATTTAACAATCTGACCAATATGTGAATCAAAGCATAACGCAGAGTCAAACAACACTCCCAGACTTCGCACAGTTGTTGAGGGCCTAATCTGGACACCATCAATATCTATGAAGATGTCATGCTGGGAAGAGCTCTGTGATTTAGGGCCAACCAGCAGGATTTCCGTTTTGTCTGCGTTTAGTTGTAAAAAGTTATCTGACATCCAGGTTTTAAGTTCTTGAAGACAGGAAACAATAGAAAGGGGTGGACAAACTGAGTTGGGTTGAACCGTAAAATTGATTTGAATATCTCATATCATATTAATATATGAAAATTGAGACCATGACATCTGATGATCTGACCCAGTGGCAGCACGTAAATGAGAAATAGAAGTGGACCAAGTACAGAACCTTGGGGGACACCACGGGAAATAGTGACAGTGTGAGATCTATTCTTATCTATCCTAACGAATTGCTGTCTATCCGATAGATATGAAGTTAGCCACTGAAGAGCAGCACCAGTGATACCTATAGCAGATAGTCGAGAAAGAAGAACAGAGTGGCAAACAGTATCAAAGGCTGCACTCAGATCAAGGAGAACCAGGATACTGCGGGCACCTGAATCAGAAACCAGAAGGAGATCATTAACCACTTTTAAAAGTGCTGTTTCTGTGCTGTGAGAGGGACGGAAACCAGATTGAAACTGCTCATAAAGATTATGTTTCTCTAAATGAGACTGCAGTTGTGCTGCAACTACCTTCTCAAGTATTTTAGCAACAAATGGGAGGTTTGATATTGGTCTAAAATTGTTCAGATCTGTGTTATCAAGACCAGGCTTCTTAAGGATTGGGGTGATGGCAGCTACTTTTAGGTCTTGTGGAACATAACCAGTGTCAAGGGATCTGTTTATAATATGAGTAATAGGTTGGATGAGTGAAGGCAAAAGGGTTTTGAGTAAGTAAAATAATAAATAAATTTATTATTAGAAATAAATTACATTTTACAATATATTCACATAGAAAACAGCTATTTTAAATTGTAAAAATATTTCACAATATTACCGTTTTTACTGTTTTT